GAGAATTTAAAACGGGTAGTAACCATGTGATGGACTAGCATCCCATCCAGGGGGAAGGGAGAGAACAAATATTTCGTCGCTTAGGCTGTATGGGCTACTGGCCTGACGCAGACTTTTTTTAATTCTAATACGTGCATCTCCATGAACAGTTCCGGTAAGTGTTTTTTTTCCGACCCTCAGAGACCCTCAGATAAATTTCGCTTTAAATTATTTGATTGAGTTGTGAATTTACCATAAATTTTTAATCATCAATATTCTTATTTATTTATTTATTTCCTTTTTTTAATTTATTATTTTTCGGTCATTCCAGGAATTCCGGGAATTCCTGGTATTCCGACACGGAATTCCGGAAATCCGGCATTCCCTCTTTTCCAAACTACCGATAAATATGCTAGTTTTAAGAACATCAAATTTCCAAGGGGAAACTATCAGACCGATAGTTCCGAGAAATAAACGCTCTATTGTCTTTATTGTTCACCACTAAATTTTCTTCCGCGCGCCGGGTTAAAAACAATCAAAACCCACTAAATGCAGATCAATCAGATATTCATTTATACTTTTTTCGAGGTGTGCGTTTTCGAGGTGTGCGGTCTGCGGTTTGCATTTTCGAGGTCTGTATTAACGAGACACTTGAGAGAATATTGCTTTGTACGATTGTACCAAAAATGATTTCGTATAGTAAACGTACAAACGTTAAAATTGCGATAGCGCTTGTGAATTCTATATTTGCTGCTAAAGTCAAGGGCCAAGGAACGGAAATTCTGTGATCTCGTCTGGTAACATCAATGACAAAAGAGAGATAGATAAATCTGGTAATTACACAAAGGAAAACTGATGGTGTACAAGTCGACTCAAAAGGCACAAACATAACCTATGCCAGACTGCTAACTCGACAGTGGAGGATCGTAAACGCGATATTTTCATTAAGAATTAAAGTCCAGTGTTTACGTGGCAGTTTCGCTTTTGCATGGCTAAAAAACTAAAAAAACGCCACGGCCTAGCGTAAAATGTTGATGTAGGAGAGGTTAGTCGAAAAACCGATTAAAATGATTATTACGATCGAGTAAAAGCTCCATTAAGCAGTAGTGTTTACAATTACAACCACCTACCACCCCTCCCTGAGTAATAACACTCTTCCCCCACCCCTCCCTCAGTACTTGCCGACTGC